AAACAGCTCAAACTGATTAAATAGCTTTTGCTTTGTTTGAGTAAAGAGAAGCACATCCACACAATAATGATCATTTAGAGCTGAGAAGAAGTCTGACAGACAGAAATAACAGGGGGAAAGTAAAGAAAAAGGAACTACCACTGGTGTTCTCCAACTACCCACAGATTAAATTCCAACCCCAACACAGGCACACACTGTCTATACTTCTTAAGCACCTGACAACTAAGCCCTTCCCTCATCAAAAATGACAAAACACTCCCCCCACTCCCCCACCCTCTCTCCTCCTCGCACTCTGTGAGCTCACCTTAGGCAGGTCTCCTAGCAAAATGTTGGCTACGGAGTACATCTTCTTGATCTCCTCAAACTGATCGGCCAGACCAAGACTGAATGCCTGGAACTGCAAGTTCGTGTACTGGCCCCCTGCAAGCACACAAACATCACAGTGTCAATGAAAGCTTGTTTTCTATGAATATCCTGTACCCTGCTCAACCCAAGTTGGCCCTTGTAAGTAGAGTGAAAGCAGCCCACCTACCAAATAATCTAAATTGTGCTGATGTGGAGTAAAACATGATACAGCATCCTAACATGAGAGACTAAAATATTTCAATAAATTTCCCCACATCAGAATCAAACTCAAGTCTTGTGTTAACGTCAGCAAAAAATGTAACTGCTACATCTTACACCACAGATGCAAGAACAAGAGAAAGGTCTTAAGTGACAGAATTTAGTTCCCTTCTCAACTCCAAACATGGCTACACAAAATCTACAAAACTATTAAAACAACTAGTAATATCAACTACAGGTATATCGGAAGAAACTTTAAGGACTGCTCATCTTTTCCTGCAGACAAGCATGATTATTCTTTTATTTGTAAATATATGTAACATTCATAATAAACTATATTATACACAATAAAAAAGAAAGACCGACAGAAATGTTCTAACATTACACTACCGCAGAATTCTATGAAATGCCACAAAGTGTCATCTCATCCAGAACCTAGAGCTTGCTCTCTTTCCACCACATGGGACTTCCTCCCATACACAAAGCTTGATACTTTACCTGGGATTTCATTTTTGTAGATGTCAGCGTTGCCACTCTTCATGGTTGCCGTGCACTCAAACGGTCCGTACAAGTTACGAGCCTGTTCCCAGTAGGCAGAGTATGCCGTCACATTGTCCAGATCCAGGCCTGAAAAAAAAATACAATACAGATAATGTTCAACTTTCAGAGTATTATTTTGTCCTTATAAAAACCAAAGTGACAGTCTTATCAGACCATAGAGTTACCCCCTTTTAAACTAGAGTCCGTACGAGGTTACGTGACACGGACACATTTGAGTTTGTTGGCGGCCATTTTTAATGTGGCTAAAAAGTTTGTTTACATGTGAGTGGGCGTGTCTCTGCTCTTAGTCTTACGTGTTTTATTTGATTCTAAAAAAAAGGTGCAAGCATGTGAAACCTCTTGTCCCTTTCTGGATTAACGTCTTACTGGTTCTGTCAGGCAGTTCAGTGATGTCTGTTTTCTTTTATTACATCATCTATTTTTAGTGCATAATATGTCTTATAGACACAAATAGTCACTCCGGGTTTCTTTTTTAAAACATAAAGAGCCATCAGTAAGGTTCTGGGCCATGTGAAGTTAATGTTGACTAGCAGCTAGATTTTTTCACAATGGGCAGGAAATTTCTTTATCAAACTGAAACAGTGTACTTTTTATTGTTTTGTTTTATTGAATGTTGTCCAAAAACACCTTAGTAAAGGTTTTTGTTTCAGTTATCACTACACTGGGTAGAAAAACAATTGACTAGGCTAAAAAACAACATTTAAGTTCACTTTTTTTATCTTTAGTGAGTCCAGAGTTGTCACAATTGTTTTACTAATGTCCAAAATTAGACTTACTTAAAACAGCAAAAGAAGGAGCTTTAGTTTAAGTGCTGTATATGGTCTACTTTAGTTCTTAAAATCAATATAAACCAAAGTTTAATACCGACATAAGAAAACACTACTTATAATTTAGTATACTTTTTTAAAAAGTGAACATATGAATGAAAAATACAGTTTCCTGTTCAAATGTCACAAGGGAAAGTTTAACTCGATTTAAAAAATACCAGTACATGTATTCATCATTTGTTTGACTGAATTTGCTTTATCAAGAGCTTCATTGCATTCCTACACCTAAAGGCTGAAAAACTCAGGAATTATTTTTCCTATGGCTCATCCTGATTTAATTTAATGCCAAACTCATATATCTGAGGGGTAGTAGTAGTAGTAGTAGTATAAGGTTTTACGGCGCTCGCAACTGCTAAGGTCATATGAGCGCGCGAAACACAAGTTGTTCACCTCTGCGAAAGTTCACTTCACGACTGGTAACTAATTTATTTTAAAATGCTAAAAAGTTAAAATATTCAAATTCGGTGTAAATACATTTGTGATCTAAAACAACTTTTAAGTAACAATAAAAATTTTTAATAATATCAGATTCACTTTACAACTCGCCATAAAGGCCAATGGCCTTTATAAAATTTAAAATTCTGCTGGGAACAACGACGGAGAAAATATCCTGCAATTTCTTGCATTTATAATATTTCCTTCGGATCTCTCCAAAGTCTAGACATTCTGTTAAAATGTGTCTAATGGTAAAATCTGTGTCGCATCCGACACAGAACGGCTTTTCCTCTCCCTGTAGGAGGTATTTGTGGGTCAGGGCCGTGTGTCCGATGCGTAATCGAGTAAAAATGACTTCGTCTCTTCTGGAGAGATCCGAAGGATTTCGCTGTTCTAGTCTGGGTTTAATTTCATATAATTTATTATTTTTCTGGTTTTCCCAGTGGCTCTCCCACAGACTGGTATCTGAGGGGGGCCGGGGGTGTTGGTATTGGGATTCGGGAGGAGAGAGAGGGTGGGGTGGTTATGGGAGGTTCCCATGACACCCACATCTTTTCATACTTCTTTTTAAAAGTTCTATAGGCCCTATACGCTTTGATTCGGTCAATAAGAAATAAACCACCTCGTAGATAAAGTGCTGATGAAGGAATAAAGGTTGTTGTTTTTTTTCTTCTTTTTTTTAAAGCCCATATCTCTATCTCTATCTATTTAATAATACATTTATTTGTAGATCTAGTTGTAGAAAGAACGTCGTATTATTGCAATTTAGTAATTTAGATATAGTACACCACAGCGCCCATGTAAAAAAAAAATCAACAAGAACCAAGCCTCGCCTGTCGCATATGAGAGAGAGAGAGAAAACATGCCTAACCCATTGCTTTAGCATGGACTCCTTCACACGACTTGCCACAAAAAACATGGCGGACGCCACTGTCAAATGTGGTCATCGCGCAGCAAGGCAAGAGAGGGGCGTAATGTATCTAGTACTATAGTGTACATCTATGTATCAGACAGACAGACAGACAGACAGACAGACAGACAGACAGACAGACAGACAGACAGACAGACACACACACACACACACACACACCTGTGTCAAGCTCTGTCTGCTCCAGCGAGGCGACCACAGCCCCCATGCTGGGTTGTGAGGTGAGCCCAGACATGGAGTCCACCGCCACATCCACCACGTCAGCCCCAGCCTGAGCAGCCGCCAACATGGCCGCCACACCCGCGCCCGAGGTGTCGTGAGTGTGCACGTGGATCGGTACATCGGGGTACTTGTCCTTGAGTGTAGACACCAACAGCTTAGCAGCCTGGGGCTTGAGGAGACCAGCCATGTCCTTGACACACAGAAGATACAGTTCTTAGTTTTAGTTATTACAGTTATACACCCATTTGCAACACAATCAGGTCATTTAAGTGCTGAAGATAAGTGCTGTTTACTAGAGTGTAGCATACAAATCAGTCAGTAGAGTATTGTACAGTAGAGTTTAGTTTCAGTTTTAGTAAGAGTTTAACGGCATTTGCAACACAATCACATCATGCAAGTACCGAAGATTACAGGTGTTACTAGAGAGAAATGTACTAAGAAAAGGAGGAGGAGAGATAAGGACAATAAATGTTTGATAGGAAAGAAGGAGTAAACCACATCAAAGCAACTGCCAACCACCCACTGTACAGTGGTGTATATACAGTCAGTCAAATAACTTACAGTAAAATGTACACAAAGTCAGATGAGTATTGTACAGTACAGTGATAACACAATAAGTTAAATATAGTGCAACAGAACATAGACATGAACGATAAACAATAGACTTAATACTAATCTATAGAATATTCTCCAGTAGAAAGTAGAAACAATCAGTAAAATTATCTTAATTTAGGAACACACAGAGACACTGTGTCCCAATGAGGAGCTGACAATACTTTCTAAAACCTGAGAGAAACTCATGATTGGCCACAGGGGCACTAAGTCAGCAACACCAGCTCCCTCCCCCCCCCCCTTCCGTTCCCTCTTATAGCCCTCCTCTGCAAAGCAGACAGTGTGTCTACCTTGATACAGAGGACGTGAGTTCCAGCCTTAACCAGCTCTCCAGCCAGCTTGGTGTAGTACTCCAGGTTGTACTTCTTTTTCTCCGGGTCAGACACGTTGCCCGTGTACGAGATGGCCGCCTCCACAACGCCACCTACAGGACAGGAGGAACACACAGAGAGGTACAAAGAGCTTTGCTCACGAAATGTGGGAGGGTACATGTATGCGTGAAGCCTCCCTTCCTTTACTGTGTAAATGTATTATTGCCCGCCCCCCCCCTCCCTCCCCTCCCCCCCACCCACCCACACCCACACACCCACACACACACACACACACACACACACACCAGAATCTAAAAACTAAGCATTTAGAAATTCTAAAAAATGATCAGGCACATGCAAAATTTTATCGTTTAAACAGTCATTTCGGTAAAAGGTTGAGGCTGCTATGACAGTGTGAGTTACACTGAAGACCAGCTTTACGACATTTACATCGCCTCGAACTACACTTTTTGGCACTAGTACAGTTGCATCTTGTGAGGCCTTGTCCACCTGGAGGGATTGAAAAATCACCGCTGAACGCAGTGAAACTATTTTTTCGGTGTTTATGTCGTCAGTGTTCAGAAGACGCTCAGGGCACAGATCGAACTGATTTCTGGAATACAAACCATTCTTGTCTGTCAATTATGACACCAACAATATTTCTAGGATCGCCTCTCCCTCGATCAACAAGTGGAACTGGCACACAAACGTTGTCACCTTGTTTGCCAGCTGACATATCGATGTTACAGTAAGAACATGTAGATCAATCTAGTTAATACGCGTAATCACTGAATATTTCAGTGAAAACGCGTAATCCCTGTACAGTGGTGGGGCTATTACGTGAATTCACTGAATGCTCAGTAGTAAAAACACGTAAAATGATAGGTCTAATTTTAGGGATTTCTCATAATCACTAGAAATATCAGTGATTACGTGAAACCCCTGAGTGAAATGGGGATTACGTGTATTCACTAAAATATTCAGATTCAGTGATTACGCGTATTCACTCACTAGGTACGCATTCTTACTGTAACATATATATATATTAGATGAATCAAGCCTTCTTCTGGCACAATCATCCATTAATACCATAGCACGTGAACCACTCCATAGAAGCTAAGGAAACATGTCACAGAGCAAAGTCATTATGTTTAAAAAATATTACCTGCTTTCCCTGAGGCTTCCATTCCAACAATGATATTTGGCAGATAATTCAGAGAATCAAAGATCCTGAAGATGTCCATTCCGTTCTTCACAGCCAAGTCACAGAACCTGTGGAAAAATTGTAGTCATTATTAACTTACAAGCAAAGATTAAAAAATGGGGACTGTGATGTAACATGCTCCAATCATCAATTCCTCTCTCTCCAACTCAGCATTCATTCATGTCCTTCAAATATGGACTCCACAGCCATGCATTACTTTGTAACAACACAACATCCACCTATTCCTGTGTCCCCAACTTAACATTCATCTATTTCTCTTTCTCAACTTAACATCCATCTATTTCTCTTTCTCAACTTAACATCCATCTATTTCCCTGACCCCCACTTAACATCCATTTATTTCACTTTCTCAACTTAACAATCATCTATTTCTCCGACCCCAACTCAATACTCATCGATTTCTATGACCCCAACTCACTTGAACACAACATTGTCTGGATAATTCGTGTATCCTACAGCATTGGCACCACGCAGCAACATCTGGAAGGGAATGTTGGGGATGAGCTTCCTCAACTCTCGCAGACGATCCCAGGGACACTCATGGAGGAAGCGGAGAGCCACGTCAAATGTCGCTCCTAGCACAAGTGAGAGACAGAAAGGAAATAAAGGATGTGTAGAATCAGTATTGTATATATTAAAATAAGAATATAGAGATTTTCCAAGCAACAAAACCCATTTAATTTTTTTAGTTTTAGTAGGGTTTTAAGGCGCTCGAAACTGCATAAGGTCATAATTTAAGTTTTCAAAGTCACATGTTAATTTTGAGTTCGAGTAGCACCAACAAGGTAACAGCCATTCAGTGCAGGGAAAAAGCATGACAGAAACAGCAGAGGGATAGAAAAGAAGTAGGACTTCAACTATTCTCCTGAACCTGTTATACCATCACACACGCACATAATATTAGGTCATAGATACATACATACCGAAACAAATAAATAATACACTACAAGCACGCCATTGCAGGTTGGTCCTGTGCAGCGCCCTGGGTTTTTTTTTAGTTAGAGTTATCTGGGGGGTTTTATCAAGGACACATACCAGTGACCCAACCACCCAAAAGGCATGTCAGGGGAATTTATTTTAAAGCAAGGACTCTCTGCAACAAATGTGCAGATGTTCCTTTAATAGTTACAAGATTGTCTTTCTGCTAAATGCTCAGCAGTAAAGAGACCACAGAATATTTGCCACTATTTACTTACAAAATAAACACACTTTTTCAGGCAAAAGACTGATACTCATCACACAGAAAAATGTTCACTCATTCACAACAGCAGTTCGTCCCGTAGCCTCTTAGGAGGAACATACCTTTATCGATAGCAGTGTTCATAACATTCATCCCCTGCCCACTCCTTTCAATCCCACATGGGTGGTTGGTGGGTGCTCTGGTGTAGTTAGCTCCGCCTTTCCTTTCTAACATCTATTACTTTTATCTCTCCTCCTTTTTTGTGTTCCTTACTCTCTTATAACACTTGTAATCTTCAGCACTTATGTGACTTGATTGTGTTGCAAGAAACAAAAAACACTTTTCTTCCTCTTATAAACCTTCTTCCCCCTCCCTTCTATTTCCTTTTCCTCTGCCCCTTCCTCATCTGCCTCCCTCCCTTCCCCCATCATTTCCCATTTCTCCACATCACCTACCTCCCCAGTTCTCCAAGCTGTACAGTGGTGTCATGCTGTGAGCACAGAAAGGTGCAATGCGTTTCAGATCATAGGTTCGAACTCTGGTGGCCAGCAGAGACTGGTGAGCATCCCGGAATGTGGTGTCCATAAGCATCAGTCCCTTGTTCTCTCGCACTTTCTTGGCAAATGCCTCAGGCCCATCCCTGAGCAGTACATCTCGGAGGGCAGGAGGGGGTGGGATAGCTGGAACAGACAGAAATATCAGCATCAAGAATCAGGAATTGGCACAGAAAAAACAACAACAATAACATCTGCAACATTGACCCCTTAATTTGTGGTACGTGTGTTTGAAACAACAGCAACAACGATAATAACAAACTAAATCATACCTCAATCTGGTGGCACAGCATTTTGACACAACAATAACAATCTAAAAAGTGCTTGCTTTCACAAAGCACTGTTGGATCACAAAGCCGTTTTTAATTGAGATGAAAGAAGAAACAAAAGGTATTCAACACAACTCAACCCCCCCCCCCCACCCACCCTTTCCTTTGCAGATAAACAAATACAGGTATGTCTTACATACATTAAATATTTTTCGGAGCCACTTGTACATCTGTGTGTGTTGTGTGCATTTACAGGGATCAATAAAGAGTAATTCGGTGTAAGATACTTTACATGTTTGGAGTGACTCTTGACCATTGCAGCTTCAACAGAAAAATATGTACTTTCTCCACAACAACACTTATTCATATTGTTTGAATATTTGTATACTCTTTATGTAAAAATTACAAATTAGGAAATTCAAGAAGGGACAAAACATGCAGACCATTAAGACTCATGCAAACCTAAATGGTAAAAAAAACTCATCTCGGGACGCTTATTACACCTTACAGCAAAAGATCAGAACTAATAATACTTTCCACAATATCTTAGCTTTCTTTTCCAGATACGCCATATCTACCAACCAATTATCTACCGTTTGCTCTTTTCTGAACTGAAACCTCCAGCTCAAGACAAAGACAATGTAACCATCCAGCATAGATGAAAGGACAATCCAATCAACCCTAATCTTCCAGGGGTGAACAGCAGTGACCACAGTGGTATGATTCACCACCGTCACATGTCACAGGGCACTCTACATCCAAAAACCAAACCATAATTTAAATAAAAATAGATATACATCGATCAGGAAATGTAAGAGGAAGGTAACTTCAACTCTGTCAGTCAGGGTCAATCCAGACAGAGTGGAAAAACAAAATCCCAACACACAGACAGAGGAAGTCAATTAAATCTCTTCCCATTCAGTACCGAGATGAGATGAGATGAGATAGGAAGAGATTAGATAAGATAAATTTGTATTGCCCAGATTCTGATTCAAACTCACACCCCATGTCCTAAACAACAAGGAGTCTAACCATTATACCACAGATGCTAATCTGGTAACTGGCAAGAGGAGTACAATTAGGCTGAGACTTCATCCAGCCAATGGTGAGCCAACACTACAAAAACTGCCTACCAGTATCCTTTTACCTGCAAGTCAGTACAGCTTCAATCATATGACAGAAATAACACTGAGAGGTTATCTACCGTTGGCAAAAGTCCCACAATAAGGAACATGAGATGAAACAACTCGATTTTTCAGGAAAGGGGCATGGGACTGGGAGAGACAACCTCCAATACTAAGCAACAACAGGGAAGATCAAAATCATGTGACGCACGGGACCCAAGACACAGCAGAATGAGGAGTGGGAGACCCCTGGCACCAAGTGGCACATGGGACATCACCCATCACAAAGCATTTCAGGTTCAGTTTGAGTAAAAGAAGCAAATCAATACGGTAATGACCGTTTAATGCAAGATAAAGCAAGACGGAAACACTGAAATAAAAAACAAAGCAAAATTTATAACAGTAAGACCTTCTGGTGGTGCCCTCCAAGCACCCTATCTATAAGCATTGTGCGAAATGAAGAACAGGAAATTAAACATAATGAAATGGGACTCTCGACTAACTGAGAATCTTCAAAACAGCTTAAGCAGCAAAACACAACAATACCTCCTTATCTTAACAGAAAACATCATGCCCATGGCAAGATGACCAGGCTATGATCACATCCTAAGTGTACTTCTTAGTTCTTTTCTAGCAAGACTTTTTCAAAGTCTCTTACATTTCACTGCCCACAAAAGTTTATGTTCTGCACAATTTGAGTTAAGAAAAGTGCATTGATACAGTAGCAGTTGTTTAAAGCTGAAAAAGGGCAAGACAGACAGACAGATAAAACAGAAAGGATAGTAAAGAAGTACAGCCTACTACAAGTGGCGCCCCCAACAGTCTGCTGACAAAAGTCTACTTACAATACAGTCATCACAATGTTCAACATACAAATACATCACAGAAATGGTATTGAAACATGCATTTGATTGGAAAAATAAATTAAATGTGTCAATATTGGCAGGCATGTTAAGTGAGGAAGTAAGCAGCCACCAACCACCAAAGCAACATGACATTCTCCGCCTGCATTCAGTGATCCATCACACAGACAGTGTCTGGAATGACCACTGCTTGTTTATATAGAGAGTTTGTATTCATATCTAATTATATATATATATATATCTTCCTCCACACCCCTGATCTTAAGGTAGGTAAGATCAAGGCCTTGTCATCTTGGATAAAGACAAAAACAATCTAGGAAGTCCCATGTCCATTACTCACATGTCAAAACTTCCCTACATTAAAAAAAAAAAAACCCCGTCACACTTGTAAAAGAATATGACACACCCTTAAACTTTTCTTGGTTCCAAACGTACTGACCATGTCTTTCCTAAATGAAATATTATAGAAATCAAGTCAAGATCTGAAAGGAGAGAAGCCGTACTTGGGCATTTTACCTTCTGTATGGCTACCACCAGGGTGAAGCTGTATAGTGGCTAATGCTTTCAGATCGTCTGTCTAGGCACAAAAGGCAATGTAGTTTACATATACCTAGCACACAGTCAAGACAAGACTGCTTTCTCAAAAATTTAGATTCTCTAATTTATGGCCAACTGAGTCACTGAATTTGATTCAACGAAAAGTTAAGTGAAAGCTGTCAGTATATTCTTTAACAATTTAGAGTTTTACTTTATAAATACACTACAAAGTGTAGTTAGTTGTATTTTTTATCAAAAGTTGACATGCCAAATAGAGCCATGACATAAAGGCAACATATCTCATACATCATGTATTACCTACTAATTCTATATCTCACCCACGAAAGAACTCATGTTACATCCTTCCCACCTACTACCTTCTTGTGTATACAAGAGGCAGAGTTGCATGCATCTCAAGTATAAGAAAGTATAATGAAGTGCTGTGCTCCGAAATGGAGGGGCGGGGGGACCACAGTATTGTAGATGTTAAAGTGCCCATAAAATGAAATCAACTTTCATCCCATGCCCATGTTTCAAAAGTTAAATCATGTCACTTGTTAGAGCAAATCAGTACCTCTATTGAGTGTTAGAACAGATGGACGGGGACAAAATGAAAACAAGTCTGTGAAGAGCAACCATCTTCATAACTGAGCAAAGATATTGCGTACATCAATTGCTAGAAAGTGACCAACAACATAAGATCAACAGAAAAGACTTTCATAAGACAGCAAAAATCATCACAGCCAAGCTGTCAGTCGCACAACAGCAGAGCTTACGTTATCATACTCATAATGTACAAAGATGTTATATTATTACTACTTAACATTGTTCTCTATGTACATGACTAGACACAATTGTAAAATATATTTGAGTAAGTCCACATTGCAACTCTTGTTACAACATGATTCACTCATCGTCAAAGGATCTGACAACAAATGGTGTAAGAAAAGTTGAAAATTAATAGGAAACAAAAAAACTATGAGAGCCAGCATGGCCGGCATATAACAAGAGCGCAATCACCAGGAAGCAAAACAAAATGAAAGAACTTGGCAGCATAGACAAAAATGACTGCCAGGCAGAGACAAGTGCTGGGCAATTATTTCAAGGCTTACCCTTCCCAAGCTGATCTGAAATGGTTGGTACACTCATTAGGAAAGGCATCGTCATCAGGGAGGGAAATTCACACCACCCACGGCAGAATATAAACTTGTGTAAGAACCATTTCTTAAATGCCCCCTTTGCCATTTCAAGCCACGTTTCAGGAAAATTCTTTAATAATAATACTTTTTAAAATCTTAAATAATGATAATAATAATAATTTTTCTTAAAATATAATAATAATGATAATGATAATAATAATAATAACAATAATAAAATAAAAATAACAATAACAATAATAATAGTAATAAATGCATTTATATACCCCATATCCATTTTCTACAGCATGCCTTTTGGTCTTGAGGCACGGTTGTATGCGATGAGTCCTGGGTTGAAAACCCAACAGCAATTTTTTTTTAATGTCCTTCTCTAAAAATTTCTCTTCTCACTTACTTTCCTGTTATCTAATCCTGTTATGTAATTAGCTTTCAAGTCGACTTTCAACTCCTCCCAAACTCACCCCCCCCCCTTACCCCAGGCCTCCTCAAGGCTCCTCTCTCCTTTACTCGAGACTCTTTCAACTGCTACTACTAATGTCTTCTTACTGCTGTCTTTCAGCCACACCCCTGATCTTAAAATAGGCAAGATCACACACCTAGCCTTCTCGGATCAGGCTGAAAAGTCTCTGAGATCCCTTGGTGTTACTAAAATCGATAAAAGTGGTCTTCAGCTGCCATCCAAGCAAATTAATTCCTATCAAAACTGAAAATACTCTAATCAATATAAAAACATAAAGTGCCTTCAAAATTGGAATGTGACTGCTTGAAGGCAAGGGGCCTTACGAGGTAGGAAAAATGGTCTCATATGTAAAATTCAAACCTGGAGGGGGATGGGTGCCACCATGCTATCCTTGCCTAAAACACACTGCATGAAAGTGAACACAACACCAGTGTCTCCAAGCCATGACCGTCAGAGGCGGAGACAGCAGGCACAGTGTTCAGCAATGCAGAACCCCCACAATCCCAGAAAGGTTTAAAGGACTCGTGACCTGTGAGCTATTATTACCCCTATCAGATCCTAGAACACTCAAAAACATTCACAGCTTCACAGGAAGCATACAGTTCAAGAAGCTGATTAAGCACAAAAACACCAACAAACTCATGAGGTCTTTCCCCATCTTTAGCCCGCATAGTACCATTATGTGTTATACGATTAAAACTAAAATGACTGATGGTGAAGTTTTTTTCTTTTACAATACCTGACAGAGGCAAGCCCTCATACTCATCAAAATTCTGAGAACCAACTTTACTTACATACTATCATACAATCAAAACTTTTTAAAAAGCATCTCTTGTATCTCCCCGGCTTTGACTCTGACATGTACATTGCAGCACCTTGCTTGACTATACACTGAGCGCCCCTTCTGTAATATTTCTTATCGAGGTCATAGCATGTGTCCTTGTTCATATAGTATCTGTAAGAGAGCTTTAGATCTTGATATCATGTGGTTTAAACGTAATTCTAAAGATGGCAGTCTCCTTGAAAATAATTAGGTTGCTGTTTGAAAATGGATTGTTCCTCAACTGCCAACTTCTTGGAAGGAAGGGGCAGCAGCAGGTGAAAGTTCCAATTTGGGTCAAAATTATCAATTTTGAGATGTGGGCATTTTTGGCTTCATCAGCCTCTCTTACAACTATTACATCGCATAAGAACCCCTTGTACCCTAATTTTGTCCCATATCAAGCATTTTAGTCACCACTATATCCTAGTAAAATCCCTTTCTTTTATCATCTGTTTTCTCCAAACACTGTTTTTCCATTATATATATATATATATATATATATATATATATATATATATATATATATATATATACATATATTTTTTTTTTTTTTTTTTTTTTTTTTTTTTTTAATAACAGAAAAGATGTAACACTATAAAATTTTTTGTTCAAATTACAATATATGAAATATTATTTTGTAAGTGGTGTCTGAAGTTTGAACTTTCACTGATTTTTTGCAGCCTTGAATACTACTTCAAGAAACAAAATTTATTTAAACGTTTATAATTCCTTTAGGAAAAAATCAAAACACAAATTTGTAGAACTATTGTTTCTTAACATGCATGCAAAACGACGACCTATTTTCATTGAATATACGTGAGATAACTGTATAAGACACATCAACAAAATCAAAAACGGCTGCCATCTCCATGGCAACAAACCTTTTTTCCTAAAATGTTATTGTGTCTAGAAGAATCCACACTATGCGTGTTGCACTATGTGTGAAATGTGGTGAAATCTGGTCCATAAGTAAGCAAGATAGCCCTCAGTTGCCGCCCCCCCCTCCCCCCCCCCCCCTCTTTAGACTCGGACAAACACAATCAGATCAACAGCACAGTGTAATATTCCATAAAATGTCACTTTTCAAAATGAGGTTTATCACAAGTAGTCAATTTGTCTACTGCTGATCAAGGGGTAATTCAGATGATGAAGATGCTGATTTTCCTTTACATTTCTCAAGCAGCATAATATTGTCATTGATAATTTTAAAAGGGGAAGAAAGCAGCATTGTGATAAGTAATAGATCAAAACCTAACATCGCGGGAAGGTAGGCTTGGCAAGCCAAAGCTAATCAAAGCTTACACAGGAAGGGATGCCTACAATTAAGCAACTGGCGGAACCAAGAGTTTCATTCAGAATAACATAGGGGTAGGCTTTTGTGTGGTGATGTTATACCATTTTGCTGCCTTTGCTTCTTACATCATCTTTGAAAATTGTTTAATGATGAGGTAGAAGCATCCTCTTATTTTAAGCTCAAGGGGCCAGGAGCCCCGTGGAAAGCTCAGAAGGAGAGGGTTCAAAGAGTAAAAGAGCTGGAGAATCATCTTGCAGAGAACAACTTTCCAGCAACCCCAATGACAGTGTCTATCTTGACAGAAATGTACGGGGAAGCAGCCAGCAAAAGCACATCTGCTCATGTGTCTAGCCTGCCATATAATATAAGTCAACTGTTTACAAGACGCACAAGTATCTGTAAGATAACACATGAGCCATTTATCACACAGCACATATTTCAAATCATGTCACACACCAGACAAGTCATTTGTCACATGACACACAAGTCAATTGTCACATGACACACAAGTCATTTGTCACATGATACACAAGTCATTTGTCACATGACACACAAGTCATTTGTCACATGGTACACAACTCATCTGCCACACACCGCACACGTCATCTGTCAAACACCGCACAAGTCATCTGTCACACACTACACACCGCACAAGTCATCTGTCACACACTACACACGGCGCTCATATGACCTTAGCAGTTGCGAGCACCGTAAAACCCTATACTAATACTAATACTAATACACACTACACACCACACAAGTCATCTGTCACACACCACACAAATCATCTGTCACATGGAGCACAAGTCATCTGTCACATGGAGCACAAGTCATCTGTCACACACCACACAAGTCATCTGTCACACACCACACAGGTCATCTGTCACACACCACCAAAGTCATCTGTCACACACCACCCAAGTCATCTGCACACACCACCCAAGTCATCTGTCACACACCATATAAGTCATCTGTCACACACCACACACGTCATCTGTCACATGGAGCACAAGTCATCTGTCACATAGAACACAGTCACACACCACACAAGTCATCTGTCACACACCACACAAGTCATCTGTCACACATCACACAAGCCATCTGTCACATGGAACAAAGTCATACGGAACACAAGTCATCTGTCACACACCACACAAGTCATCCGTCACATGACACACAAGTCCTCTGTCACACGGAACACAAGTCATCTGTCACAAGCCACCCAAGTCATCCATCACATGGCATATATATGAAATCACCTGTCATAAGCCAGTCATCTATCGCACAGCATATATAAGTCATCTGTCACACCATGCAAGTGTGTATCTATCATAAGACACAAAACCCACTCACCAACGGGAACAGGCGGCAGAGAAGGCACAACCTCAGTGGGCTTGAGGGTGGTGCCCAGCGGAGTGGACGGCCCATTGACCATCACATTGCCCAGGTAGTGCAGTAATTTCTGTGCACGGTTCTGACTGGCCGCGAAGTGGAAAAGGCCGGGGTTTTCATCAATGAAATAAGTGTCTACAGATCCCTTCAGGAATGTGTCATTTTGCAGGACATTCAGCAGGAACGGGATGTTTGTCTGCCAAGAGAAATGGAGAGGTATTTGTACCACGCTAAAGAAATGATTGTCTGCCAGGAGAGGGGGGGGGGGGGGGGGGTGGACCGGACGGCATATGTACTATATACTGCACAAAGAGCATGTCAACAACAGATTTGAAGCAAAAGTTTTAACAGAACACAAACCAACCAGCTCTGCCAATGAAAAAGCTAGTCATGAACAAAGGGACAAAAAAAGTAACACAACAGCTATCTTACAGCAAGCACACACCTCTACAAGCCTGCAGTATCCTGTTTCTGTGTTGACAAGATGTCTTACTGCTGTCCCCTGTCCCATTCTCAAATTGTTAGTTCATTTTGTGACAAGTCACTACATTGGTGTGAATAAAATACATTGACCTTTACGCTGAAGGAAATGTCTACAATTTAATGTCTGTATGGAAACACTTTTACAAGAAAAGACAATTCACAGTTTTTGCTATCCTCATAATGCTTACGCCACTCTTTGAATTTGTATTGAATTCACTGAATATGAAAACATGAAAGATGTGAGGCAACTAATAATGAAGCACACAAAAAAGCCTAAAGGTTGCAAGAGCTGTCTCAGGTCGACAGTAAGTGAAAAGAAAAAGACTTGACCCTTAGTTTGACAGTATCTTTAATCTCGACAATTTCCTCACCTTGACACCTCTGATGCGGAATTCTCTCAGAGCTCTCAACATTTTGGCGCAAGCCGCTGGGTGGTCTCTCGCCTGAGCAATCACTTTCACCAGTAGCGAATCATAGTAAGGGGAGATTACTGCTCCAGCAAAAGCTGAGGCACTGTCAAGACGGATTCCCATGCCTTCTCCACTGCGGAAAACCTGGTCAAGAAGAAAACAAATGTCAAATTGGCAGAGCAAACAAAGGTTTATGAGTTTGAGTAAAGGGACGCACTGTGGCATATTAACCGTCATATACTGCAAGGGAAAAGTAAAGACAGACAGATAGAAAGAACTTAGAGAAAAAAAAGAAGTAAAACCTACACTAACAACCTCTAACTACTTGTACAAAGTTTTATGGATTTACAACACAGGCACAAAGAATACGATGAACAAATAGTCCAAAGCAATTTTGACAAGACAAAATTTAATATTGACAGCAGAAAGGCCCCAGACAACTGTGACGTCACAATTTCTCAACTTACAGACACATCAAATTCACTTTATACACAATTTATCATCTCATACAACTAATCACTAATAAAGTACTTCTTCAACTGTTTTTATGGCGTTTCTGTCTCTGAAATTACATCATAAGTCACCCTCATTTGACCCTGGCCCCATTGAAATCGACCTCTTTGTACCACGTCAAGTCTAAGGAGAATTTTCCAGCATTTTGTACCACGTCATGTCTTCGGAGAATTTTCCAGCAGCATACTGAACCACTCTACCTCAATCCAACAAGTGACCTAATCCATTCATCTTGGTGGTCTAACCAGTCACTCGTGAGTAATTTACCTGAATATAGCAAGTGAGTAAAACCATTAAGTTCAATCTGGCACTTAACTTGACTTATTTACCTCAATCCGACCAGTGTCTGGCTGGAAGTTTCGGGATGGATCCTCAGTGGTCATACGGCACTGAATGGAACATCCATTGAGATGGATCTGTTCTTGTGTAAGGTTCAAATCCTCCAGTGTGTGGCCCTCTGCAATCTTAATCTGAGACTGCACCAAGTCGACTCTGATCAGGAAAAAAAAATTTTAAATTCCGATGGACTAATCAAATAACTGTCAACATCTAAGACAACATGGAACTTATTTTGCTTTTAAGATGCCTAGAATCTCAAGAACCGATATAGGACAGTAAACACTTGAGGTGACAATTACATTCTGAAAAACCCTTCCATCTGAATGCCAGATTAAATTCAGAAGCAGAAGCGGACAGGTTTATAAATGAGCATAGCATGAGAGCTTTTTAAAAAGATCACACTCATAACAGAAATCA